TGGAATTCACTGTCATCGTCGGGCTTTCTAATCATTTCATTGTGAGAAACTCAAGTACTATTATCCTCTTTAGCCTAATGGTCCTAAGGTTAATACTGTTTTTTTTACGGTTTGTCTAGTTTCCTCTCAACATGTTGAGCATGCGCTCCAGGCTTCCTTCGAGGTTGCCTTATGGAACAACACTAAAGGCACCAGCTACCAGTGTTGTAGCTGTTACCGCTGAGCCGGGGTCTAAGATCTCCAACATGTTACCCACAATTAGCCTTTATTCACGAGACTATTGCGGACAATTGTGTAAAAATAGACATGATGTCGTGCTCTGCACCGTGACTGAGGTGGGCGAAAATAACGTGCGATTTACAAGTTAACCGATGACTCGAGTCATCCTGGTTCATTTCGGGCAATGTAGAGTGAATTTGGTATAAGGAACTGACTGAATTTCGCCTATAATTGCCCTTCCAAAGGTGCTTCCCTCCACGATTGAAAGCAATTTGAACCTCACTCTAAGCAATTTATCACTACCCCAACCAGATCCCTCGACGTAACAGGATGAAGCGGCAATCCGGAACAGATGAGAACACTCTCCGTGGGGGAAAGATTGAATGAAATTCAATGGCGTCGTGAGGCCTTCTTTTTCCCTGAGATCAATTTGACCATTTCTACTTACATCATCTCGAGCAACCTAGACCTACGCAAGTATGCAACTCCTCATTCAACTTCAATTGTTAGTTTCGAAAGATATTCATTCCGTGCTTGGGAAACTTTTATTATGATTGCAAATACATGATAAATAAATAAGTTAGTCGATCTTATCTGAAGATAGCCTACGAATCACTTATTCAGGCACTTTCATGCGAAATGAAAGCCTCCATAACAATTGCAATTTATACTTCGTCCAGATTCTGATGGGAAAATTTAACTTTAATTCTCTTATCATCTTACAATAAAAATAGTGAAAACAGCTCTCAAATAAGTTCTACTGATAGTCTCGAAAGCTACTTATAAAACGAAAATATGTAATGTAGTCGATTAATATAGCAAATACCAATTTGCTTAATCGTAAATCAAACCACAGAATGTGATATGGGAAAGGCCCAGGCTTCCTTGCAATTTACTTTTTCCCAGTGACTCAACAGCATTCGTGTAGGTGTGACGTAGCGTTCAGAGTGTCGAGACTACGCTTCACTCCCACGGCCTGGGCTCGAGTCCCGTTCGGGGTGCTGATGAGACTAGCACAGACGAGGACGAGAATACCTTTTGGGAATCAAGGCCATATAAAATTTAACAGAAAATGTTGGCCACTTCATATAACTATAGGATAATTCAATAGTCAGTCCTTCATCATCTTAAACGAAATAGATGGAATACATTTCATATGAACATATGATCTCGAAACATGCGTTTAAATAAAATAACCTTAATGCTTATTCAATGAACTGTATGATTTCTAACAGTGCCCTCCACAAGAGCAAATAAATTTTCTTTCTCAATAAACTAAATCATAGCATGCACGCATAAACTTACGATTATGCGAATTGTGATATTCCTACACTCTTTGGTTGTTTGTTTGTTTTGTGCAAGTAACTTAGCGCTTCACATGGCCTTCCAGAAGATGACGTTGGTTTGGCTGTATCTGAACCCCGATGTGGTGCAAAAGTGGTATCATATATTCTCTATCCTCAAAACACCAAATAGTTACAAGAAGAATTGGTCGAGGACTCTCACAATATTTTCACATTCTCGACCCTGTAATGCATTTCTTGCTTCGCAGCGAGTTGTGCCAAGAATGGCCGAGCCCTCTTTTTTACAATGTTGGAGTACCTTTCAGTAAGCTTAAAGAGGCGAGTGGAAGGGATTCGTAAGTTGGTTCCACAGGAAGCTGTAGGGGGACTGCCTCAGAGTTGTGGTTGTAGATTTGTGCGAATCGGTCCTCGGACCCCGATAAATTCTTGCCGAGCTTTCTTCCGTCATGCGACGGACGTCGTCAGCGCAGGATATCATATTTAACGATAATTCATCAAAACACGAAGGCAAGAAAAGGGTCTGGTCTCAAATAAAACCTACTAATTACAGTCCAATTTGGTCCACTTAATTAGTCATCTCATATAACGGACGAAAATTGAGAAAGGAATCGTCAGGTTTGCAGAGCGATCAGTCGAGGAGCTATTCACACAAATCTTCGGTGACAGCTCCAAGGCAATCTTTCCACAGTTTCCGATGATACCAACCTACGAATCTCTTCCACTCGCCTCTTCAAATGAACTGAAAGGTAATCCAGCATTAATCTGTAAAGGGATTCTTAGAAACCCAGTTTTTCTATTTCCCCTCTTCGTTTTGTTTCCATGGCATGAAATGGACTGTTCAGAGACATAGTCTCACTGTTTTTCTCTTTCACAAAAGCAGACTCTGCAAAAGGGTAGATCGTAGCCTATCTTTCACCAGCCGAACGAAGAGGACATCGTGAGTATAGCTCATTTCATTACAAGGACTTCATCTATTAGTCACATGACCATCTCAAATGATCAAGACTGATCGTCTTAAAGCCTACTCACTTGGTAATTAGTAATATCGAGGACTTCGAAGACACAATTCGAGAGCTGAATTTCTTCTCGTGTAGCATTGCCTACTGAAGATAGTCATGGGCCGGGATCTCTTCTGAACACTTGTGGATTAATTTTGTTGGAGCGTTCCTGCTGGCGTAGTGGTCAAGACACTCTGCCTCGGTTACGATGGCAACGAGATGAACTTTCATCGTTCACTCCATTTGACGGACATTGCCAGATCTAAGAATTATCAGCATAGAAACTACAGGCTTATAATTTAATATAATATTGATTGTATGCATAAAGAATGATCTGCTTGATTGATGTCCGGATAAATCTGTGATTGTACATTTATTTGTGCGTGTGTATGAATGCGTAAGCGAGGAGATATGAGATCCTAGTGATTGTTTTGATTGATGCGACCTGAGCGTAACGTCTCTCGTTCTTATCTAAGGTTATTTGTTATTTATGCTGATGAAAAAATCTAGTCAAATGAGTAATACCAGACATGTCTCTAATTTTGCCGATGAACTTTTTCTGTGAAAACGGTTGCATTAATAGTTAGCTACAATAATTATAACTCTAATCAAAGAGGCTGCCTTTTTTGGAAGTTCAATAAATGGGGCAGATTTAGTTCGACTGAATCTTTTCTGCTTAGGCTTGTGGATACAAATAGTAAATGGATTTCCATGCATCACTTAGGGTAACATTCTTGGAGAGACTTTCATTTCGTACGTGAGTGCACGAAGAAGAGATTCGGCGTTCCATCTATCCAGAAGACGACGGCTAATCCCCGTTGTACTGCAGCTGTTTAGCTTTGATACGACGCTTACTGGCCTAGTGCTAACGGGAGACTTTTAAAAGAATGAGTTTCAGCCCTGATGATGTTTATCACATGATGGACGAAAACCCGTTTTTTCCCTGGAGCGAGGAAGGATGTCTCGTGGACTGGGTCAAACTGAACGTCGTATTAAAGCTAAACGGCCGCAACACAACGGGAATCAGAAGTCGTCTGGTGGTGAAATCGAGATTGAAATCTCTGCTTCGTTCACTTTCATACGAAATTAAAGTCTCTCAAATACGATTCGTGAGTCGATCTAACTAGAAGAGGGCAGATTCCTCGCTTGGCTTTAACTAAACCTTCTGGTTGCCGCGGTCCCCGATGAAAACGTGTTCAACTTTAGTCGGTCATGCCACTTGGCAGACACAGCATCAAAATTGAATGTCATTTTATGAGTGATTCAATAAAACTCCTCTTCTTATTCCTACATCACGCTCCAACCTTGTGATTTTTGTTAGAATTCTGCTTGATTTGGCAAGTTAGTGTCCTATGAGAATGTATAAACCAATGAGCAAGTACACATATATGTTCGTATGTTTGCGTTCATGTGCACTTCTGGATACAAAAACAATATTGCAGGTGAATAAGAACTCGATCGCTTAGGAAGATTTTGGGACTGTTAGTGGAAGTTTTCCCATAATCAGCGGATTGAACTTGAATTTGCTTCAGAACAAGTTTTACTCATACAGAATGAACCACAGGCATTATCAGCATCCCAAAAGACCCCTAAAGTGAGTTTTGACCATCATGGCGACATGCTACTACTCCGCTACACAGCTAGGCCCTTCCGAAATAACAAAGTTTAAATATGAAAATTAATGATAGCTTCGAAATTTACTCATATCGAACATAAGTGGCACCTTCAATTTCTACTATAAGCGAATGCCTGATTTATCGAAAATTCCCTTACAATTGTGATTTATGAGAGACCTGGCCTATTTCGAACGTAAAATCTGCCCTGTGCTCCAGTTTAATCGTAAATTTTTTTAAGTACTTATTTCATTGTGGGAAACTAAAACTATCGACTACAAATCAACCGATGCAACTGAAATTGACTGACATTATGGGACATTCATTTCTATGTGAAATCTTAACTGTCGTCCTCGCATCACATAAGGCTACCTCAGGTGATTCGGGTCCTCAATGCAGAATCACAACTTTTGCTTCCCCCTTATTTAGGATCGCTGTTAGTCCTGAAAGAACTATACCGAAATGACTCATTCTGACCGCGGTCAGATTTATGAGTAAAAACTATATTCTCCATGTAGCATTTAAGTTGATTGAAGAATGTTGGACGAATTTCCCTACAATAATATGAATAGGCCGTACGATTTAATTAAATTTCACAAGTCCTTGCAATCCTCCATTACTTTAAGCAAATATGGTGAATGCAACCATCAAATAAAATCTAACGGTAGTCTCGAAAACAAATTAATAAAATTATTATACTTCACATAGTTGATTACTGTATGAAATAAACTTCTGCTTCATTGACAATTATACCACAGAATGTGATATGAGACAATAATCGGCTTTCCTTAAAATGCACATCCCCCTGTAACTTAAGGTCACTCGTGGCAATGGGGTCTAGTGGTCAATGTATTGAAATTATACGCTGGTCTATCACGGTTTGAGTCCTGCTAAGAGGCTCTGGAGAGACATAGTCGAAGCCCTGGATGATAATAGCTTTTGGAAAGCAAGCCTAGGTACAATTAAATGAAATAGTGATTGTGGGAAAATCATTCCCAAACCAGTAAATTTATTTCAGCACTTATGTAATATACTGCTAATTTCGAAATATAATAATACATAAAAATATAAACCGATTGCATCCCTTCTGATAAAAATATTAAAAGTTGTAAGTTAGCTACAACGAACTTGTTTTAGATTCTCTTCAGGCACACCTTAAGTGTGAATTACCGCTTGTTGGGCGTTATAGGAGCAAATATCCCATAAATGCGCAGTGACTAGTGACATTGTGATC